AATTGCTCCTATTGACTTTGTCCCATGACCATTACATCTCAACCCACTGGGATTTCTTTTCCTCACTGACTCTACAAGGGATCTCACACTTATTAGCCAGCTCCACACCTGTGTAAGTTATTTCCTTGTAATAAATCTATTATGGATCTCTCCCTGTATACATATGTCTCACTTGTTCTGCCTCTCTGTTTCAACCTTGACTGATGTAGGACTTATAGATTTTTCTCCATTCTAGTTACAGTCTTTGGGTCCATTGGAAAAGAATATGTCTTTCAGAAAATATCAGGGTAACCCCTTCCAAAATGTATTTCCTCTTTTGGATTTTCATGTAAAAGCACAAATATTTGGCATACAAGGAAAAATATAGTGCATTATTCGGATTTTGTATTTGTGAATTTTTCTTTCTTCCTAAATTATGTGTGATCACAAAATCTATAATTATGGAAACTTTCTAGTCATTCCAGGACATGAGCTATGTGAGAGACAATAAATTACACCAGGTGTCTGTTCCCAATTGAGATAGAGCAAAGGGACACTCTGCACTCCTATTTCAGCTTTCACACTGTAAACACGTGTCTTTCTGTGGTATATTAGTGCCATGTTTTTGGCATTTTTGTGCTTTGTTGGTGATTTGACTGTAATAAATGCCCCTCAAGCTTAGCGCTGAAGTGTTGTCTAGAATTCTTGAGCTAAGATGACTGTGCATTATGGAGATAACACAGGTGTTAGATAAGCTTTGTTCAGGTTGAGTTATATTGCTATTACTGTGGGTTCAATATTAATTAATTAATGTTATATATTAAATATGGCATCTTTAAGGAGCAATACACATAAAACGAGGTTACATATTGTGACTTATTGATAAAAAGGTTGTTCATAGATAAAAGGGTTTGACATGTTTAAAAATTTTTTTAATGTAATAAGTAATGACCAGAGGAATCTTCCCATGTATTTCAGCTTAGAAACAATGCTTCAATATTTGCTAACAAAGTATTTGTGGCCACCTCTCAGAGTCTAACTACAATGAATAATTAGAATGACTCTGAGTGTAATATGCATCTTTTCAAAAGAAAGAAATTTTATAAAGAATGTAATCAAGAACCTGTGATATAATTTCATTTATTTCTTTAATTTTTTTAGGGACAAGTGTTCCCTCTGTCACCCAGGCTACAGCAGTAACAGAATCATAGCTTACTGCAGCCTGGAATTTCTGGGCTCAGGTGATCCTCCCACCTCAGCCTCCTGAGTAGCTGGGACTACAGGCATGCACACTACCTCACCCGAATGATTTTTTTCCCCTACTTTTTTAGAGAAAGAGTTCTCCTTATATTTCTCATGTTGTTATCAAATTTCTGGTCCCAAGTGATCCTCCTGTTTCAGCCTCTGAAGTTGCTGGAATTACAGGCTTGAGTCACTGTGCCTGACACAAAAATAAACAATTTTTTGTAGGCTAATTAGTGCAAAAAAAAAAAATAAATAAAGAACCAATAATTAGGAAAAGATGCTAACTCCAATTAGTAATGAGGAGGAAAAAAGCAACTTAAATATTAATTGATCTTTTACCCTTGAGATTTGCAAATGTTTTCTAAATTTGATAATAGCCTCCAATGGGATTATTTGGTTAATCTGTGGTTTCTTTTAGAATGGCACAGAGAAAAAATTTTTAAATCTTCTCTTAGAAGAAACTCAGTAAGCATTATTAAATTAATCTTAGTTAATTGCTAGCACATGTCTATGTTTATAGTACTTATGTTTTGTACGCATCATTCCGGGAGTGGTTTTAGGAATTGAAGTGTGATGCTAACTTAATCAAGGGTGTGTTATGCATGCTGCACAAACCTAATCACCTCTAGCTCCACCTTTCTCATCCCTTGGGAGTTAAAATATCCCTAAAAAGGTGGGTGTGGTCTTCAAAGATTCTTATAAAAGGACCCACAAATGCTCATCTCCTATAGAGAAGGAGTGACCTCGCCTTGGAGACACTGAAAGTTGGTGCTGCAGCGGATGATCTCCTGACCTTGAGGTGGACTTAGCAGAATTCTTCTTAAAAGAATCATAATGGCAATCATTGGTAGAACTCGGCGGTAAGTGAGACTTATAACCAAAAAATTATTTTGATAAAAATTTTTAGAGTTGACTGGGCATGATGACTCATGTCTTTAATCCCAGCACTTTGGGAGTCTGAGGTGAGAGGAGTGCCTGAGCCCGTGTGTTCAAGACCAGCCTGGACAACTTTGACTTTTGGACACAAATAGAAAAACTAGCCAGGCATGGTGGTGCATGCCTGTAGTTCCAGCTACTTGGAAGGCTGAGGCAGAAGTTTCACCTGAGTCCAGCAAGTAGAGGCTGCACTAGCCATAAGCATGCTACTGTATTCAAACCTGGGCTACAGAGTGAGACTCTGACTCAAGAAAACCATTTTTTAGAGTTAAAAATATCTATTATACCTACTGAATGATACCATTTGTAACTCTTACTCTTACTATTTATTTTATGAATTATTAGGCTATCAATTGTTGCTATTTTGAAGTTGAATATATTTTTTATTTTTTTACTTTTTTATTTTTATTTTTTTTTAGTTGGAGTCTCACTCTGTCACCCAGACTGGAGTGTAGTGGCCCCTCCCGGCCACTGCAGCCTTGACCTGCTGGGCTCCGGCAAGCCTTCCACGTCAGCCTTCCAAGTAGCCGGAATTACAGGCATGCGCTACCACGCCCGGCTGATTTTTTTATTTATTGTAGGGATGAGGTCTCACTGCCCAGGCGGGTCTCGAACCCGCGGGCTCAGGCAATCCACTCACCTCAGCCTCCCAAAGGCGCGGGATTACAGGCTGAGCCACCGAGCCTGGCTGAAGTTGAATATATATTTTTAAAGAATTTTTAATATCTAGTGTTTGCTGCTATAGATATGTATGCATAATGAACATATAAAATTCACATGAATACATATGTACATACATATAGGTGTACACTTACATACATGCTATGAGTATATTAATATTGGTACTTTGAAATACTTGAGAAGACATTATAATTGAATGTTGTAAATGATGTCTCTTCATAACCTTCAGTTTTTAGACCTGACTTTAAATGACTAAGACAATAATGAGAAATACAAAACAGTAAGACTATGGGAAATGAGAGTTCTGCCCCAAATGCTCTAGTTTAGATATGAAAACTGAATTCTCTGACCAAATAATTTTAAGACATAATTTGATAAGTGCTACTTGTTGTTATTTGCCTTGAGACTTTCATCTTATTAAACTATGAAAAATTCCTGACAATGACTCTGATTGGCCTCTAAGATTGAAATTCTAAGATCTTCACTTTTATTCAGCAGCATTATTAAAGAAAGGAGGTCCTGTCTCTAAGTTGAGGACTTAGGATTACTAAAATTTTAATTGCAATTTGTACTAGCCAGGGTTCTCCAGAGAAACAGACTCATAGGATATATACACATATTTACACACACACGCAGATAGATAGATAGATAGATAGATAGATAGATAGATAGATAGATAGATACAGACATGCACCACATAATGACTTTTAGGTCAACCATGAACCACATATACAATGCTGGTCTCAGGATTATAATATCATTTTTTTCTGTTCCTTTTCTATGTTTAGCTATGTTAGCTATACAAATACCACTGCGACAATTGTCTATAGTATTCAGTAAAGTAACACACTGTGCAGGCTTGAATCTTAGGAGCAGCAGATATCTAGCAGCCCAAGTCTCTAGTAGGCTATACAGTCTAGGTTTGTATAAGTACATTGATGTTCTGACAACAAAATCATCAAACACATTTCTCAAAGCATACCCCCACTGTCAAGCGATACAAGACTGTATATGAGAGGAGGTTTATTAGGGATATTGGCTCACTTGATTATTGAGGCTGATAAGTCCCATGATAGCCTGTCTGCAAACTAGAGTCCCTGGGAGGCTGGAATCATGGCTCAGCCCAAGTCAAAGCTTCAGAACTAGGTCTAGGAGAGACAGAGAGCATATAGAGAGTGGCCTTTTCTATGTCTTTTGTCTTCTATCTGAGCCCCAGCCAACTGGATGTAGCCCACCTACAATGAAGGCAGATTTTGCCCACTGGGTTCGCTGACTCATGTTAGTCTCTGGAAACATCTTCACAGACACATCCAGAGTAGTGTTTTACCAGTTCTCTAGGTAGTACTCAATCCAGTCCAAGTGACACCTAAATTAACCACTACACAGTGGAAATAATATGTAATTATTTCTACATGTTTTACATTCAAAAATGGAGAAGAATGTGTTACTTAAACTCTTTACCTCTATTTTCCTGCTAGGAATTAAGATGATAATACTCATAATACCTAATATATAGCCTAACATAGACTTGTGATGAGACTATATCTGTATATATTTGTAGGGAGAAACTAATTTAATCTTCAGAAAGTAAAAAGACACAATTTCTTTTTTCTTCTGGGAAACCTAGATTGGTTGAATTGGTGTCTTTTCATTTGTTTGTTTGTTTGTTTGGTTGATTGTTTTTGTTTTAAAGAGTTGAGCTTCTGTGTCCCTCTCTCTAAGAACATTTTAGAAAACCCTCTGGCCACTTCTCATATTTTACCGACCAAAGTAGAGTTTCCCCCCTACTCCCATTTATCAGTTATTAGAAAGAGAAGTAGGGACAATTATGATTTGTTTTAGACAATTTATGACAATGACCCCAAGTCCCATACCCATATCCAGGTAAAGGGTACTTGAACAAATGCATACCCTGCTAAGAGTCAGGAACTCAGAGTAGAGAGTTTGTGAGTTGTCTACTCAAAGTAATGTCAGCTATAAATTCAAGAGACTCTTCTTGTGTATCTGTTTTTTGTTTTTGTAACAAAACAAATAATGTTTTCTGATTTAATGAGCTTTGCTAAGTGAAGAAAATATAGCTATCACAAATCCTTACATGTTTGCAGCTTCTCACTAACCCAGGCCCAGAAATTACATGTTATCATTTCTTCCTCAGAAACATGAATTCCAGACTCTTGCAAGTCTTCCAGAAGGAACTCACCTGTCCCATCTGCATGAAGTACTTCCTAGACCCTGTCACCATAGACTGTGGGCACAGCTTTTGCAGGTCCTGTCTCTACCTCAGCTGGCAAGACAGCCCCGTTCATGCACACTGTTTTGAATGCATGAGTGCAACACAGCAGAGAAACTTCAAAACCGATATTCGTATGAAGAAGATGGCTTCCCTTGCCAGAAGAGACAGCCTCTGGCAATTCCTGAGCTCTGAGGAACAAATGTGTGGGACCCACAAGGAGACCAAGAAGATGTTCTGTGAAGTGGACAAGAGCCTGCTCTGTTCACTCTGCTCTAAGTCTCAGGAGCACCAGGCTCACAGACACTGTCCCATTGAGGGGGCTGCTGAGGAACAGAGGGTAAGCGAGGGGTCTGAAGACCTACTTCTTCAAAGGACAGATAAAGTCCCTATGTGTCTGTTTCCTTGAGGATAGGATGATGACATCTGTGTGTCTCTTTCAGCATCTCTCTTCTGGGGCCTACCAGATTTGGGGCTGATTTTTTTTATGGGGCTGATTTTTCTCTCTGTCTGCATCCACTTCCTATGTTAGGGTCTGAATGTCAATTTATTGATTTCACTGGTGGTCTAATTTATGGTATACTTTATAGGAAAAGCTCCTGAAGAAAATGCACTTTTTATGGGAAAAAGCTTGTGAAAATCATAGAAACCTGAATATAGAAGCCATCAAAATGAGATCTTGGGAGGTTAGTACCATGCTACTTATATCTTCTTCATGAACGTATGGGGGACATAGGGCTGAATTTTAAATAGGAACGTGAACTGAAGTCATGGTTCTGGAACTCAATGAAATAGATCAATTGGCAAAAGTGGCTTCATTATTTGTGTAGGCTAGCATGACTGTTAGGGTTTCTGACTAAACCAGATGTTACCCAAAGCATGCTGGTTTGTTTCCACACAAACCTGTACCTACACACCAACAAATATAATGAACTGGGCCACCTGACAATGCCCCATGTATGCTGGGATGGATAAAGCTGGACCCAGGAGAAATTTGGCAGTTACTGAAAGTTCAGGTGAAGCTTCTGAGGCTGCACAAGCATTGACTTGAATGCTGGTGATAGTACTTGGAAATGGGTAGAAAATTTCTGGCAAGAGGAATAAGGGAAAGTTGGAAATGAAGTACTCTTCATTTCATTCATGAGTAATTAATGTTTAATAATACATAGCACAGGATTTTAAAAAGTGTTGAGAAATGTGAATTTGGATGAGGCATACTGGCTCACACCTGTAATCCCAGGAATTTGAGAGGATGAGGCAGGAGGGTTGCTTGAGTTAAGGAGTTTGATACTAGCCTGGACAACATAGTGACACCTTGCCTCTATAAAAAATTAGCCCAGTGTAGTTACACCTGCAGTATCAATTACTTAGAAAACTGATGCAGGAGGGTTGCTTGAGTCCAGGATTTGGAGTCTACAGTGAGCAGAGATAGTGCCATTGCACTCCAGCTAGGCAACAGAAAAGACCCTGACTCAAAAAGAAAAAACCTGAATTTTTATCATTAGAGATACTTCTAAAAATGACAAATATATAAATATATTTGATATACAAATATATATTTGGTGCATAAATATATATATGATATATAAATATATATCTGTATATAAATATATGTCTGTATATAAATATAAGGAGCAGTTTGAACATTTGAAAAAGTTTTAAAATTGATTCTTTTTGTGAATGGTTATCTTGAAGGTATGAAGTCTAACATTCACTAAAAACTATTTTATGTGCTCTTAGCCTATTTAAAATATTAACCTAGAATTTAACAGTAAAGACAGAAAGCATCCTTGCCCTGACAAAGCTGAAAATCCAAATGATAGGCAAATGGTTACCATGCAAATATGTGAAATATGTGATTTGTTGGAGTGTGATAAGTTCTTTGGAGAATGGTCAAGCAGGGAAGTGGAATAAGAGTTGGGGAGATGAGTAATAGGTGGAAAAGTTGAGTCTTATATAGGGAGGTCAGACAAAACTTCACTGAAAAATTCACATTAAAACAAATTCTTGAAGAGAAAAGCAAACATGAAGATATATGCAAGCAAAGAATTCTAGGTGAAGGAATAGCATGGGAAAAGTTATTCATTTTGGTTTACTTGGGGAGGCTGAGGGCCCACAAAGAGGTCTACATGGCAAATTGGAGTGAGTGGAGGAAGAGAAAGGAAGAAATTAAGCCAGAAGTGAAAAAATGTCAGATCACAGATGAAACTTTATGAGAACATGTTTTGGTAAGTGAAATGCATGGGACGATCTTGTTGGTCTAAGGTCATTGAACAGATAATGGGTTTAAGTAACTTGCCCCAGATCTCAGAAATTAAAAAATATATAGATTCCTAACAATTTGATTTAGCTCTAAAGTTCAACTCTTAAGCATGAACTATGTTGTCTTTCCATTAATATGTGTAAGAAGATTCCAAATACTGTGAAATCAAGAAAAAATATGGGTTGGAAGAGAACAATCAAGCTTGTTTTTCTATGTAACTGTCTTAGAAAACAATGTATTGTGAATTAAAGGAATATACTTGGTTGGATAAAACTATGTTTATCCTAAAGGAGAAATAAAAAGGAAATGAACAAAAATTTTATGACTTCTGAGAACTGGCAGACAGGTTTAAGTGTTTGATGTTCACTAGACAAAGACAAGTTCATGAGATTCAATAGGAGATGGATAAATGGGCTGATAACTTACTGCCGCATTGTCCCTGCAGGGTTATGTGAATTTAAGGAAAGAGGCAATCAGAGCTGAGTACCAGAAGATGCCTGTGTTTCTCCATGAAGAAGAGCAACTGCATTTGGAGAGACTGCAAAGGGAGGGCCAGGACATTTTTCAGCAACTCCATGAAAGTGGAGCCAGCATGTCTCATAAGAGTTGGATTTTAAGAGGCGTGTACAAGGAACTGAAGGAAACTTGCCATAAACTAGATGTGGAGTTGCTCCAGGTAGGCGCTAGCGATGGGTTCTCAGGATGCTGGACACTCATGGGCATGTGTATTCTCTCTCTTGGCTGAAAGCCATCTGCCCTTGACTTCCACCACTTGTTTCCAAAAACGTAATTGCATAACTGAAGCTACTTTGGGTTTTTTTGCTGGGATGATATTGCTCCTTCAAAGAATTCTGCCAGGCCAAAAATCCCTCCTACTTTATCCCAGCAACAAAACTTTGTGGAATGGTTGCTGTGACAGGCCTGCTATATATCCCCCATCTACTTGTGAATTGTGTTCACTCAGCAGGTAAAATACAAAAAAAGAAAAGAAATATTCCCCATCTAAAAGTCAATATGAGGCCAGGTGTGATGGCCTATGCCTGTAATCCCAACACTTTGGGCCCAGGAGTTGGAGATCAGCATATGCAACATAATTAGACCTTGTTTCTACAGAAATCAAAAAGTTAACTGGTGCGGTGGTGTACACCTGTAGTCCCAGATACTCAGGAGGTTGAGGTGGAAGGATGCCAGAGCCAGGAAGTTGAGGCTGCAGTGAGCCATGATCATGCCATTGCCCTCCAGAATGGGAAACAGAGTGAGACACTGACTCATAAATAAATTTTTTTAAGTTAATATACAGTTGACTTTTTGAAAAATTGCAAAAGTTATTCGTTGATATTTAGATTCATTTGTGGATGTGGCAATATGTGAAGATTTAGGGTCTAGGTTTGCATTGCTGTTATATTTATGTTCACCAACTTTGGAAATAGGCCTGGGGAAGATAACTGAATTGCTTATTCATGGTTACAGCTGAGCATAACTCTCCAGGCCTCCTTCCAACTTGCATAGAGAATGTCTTCAAGAATCAGCTTTGGTAACCCCTTTGGGTCCCTTCTGCTGTGGGAGCTTTGCTGTCCTCTCAATTAATCTTGCTTTAAAAAAAAATCGGCCTTACCAGGTCATTAGTTTTAGACAATATGGTAGACTGGGTTTTTTTAATTATAGAAGAAACAGAAGATTCTTTGCAGGAAGAATGACAGTCGGGAAATAATATCTGCAGAAATTGACTAAAAATCTCTTACTGAATTTAGTAGAATTTTGGAAAAAGCACTGAGACTTTCTATTTTTCTTTTTACAGGTTTATGGAGACATATCACGAAGGTAAGTGTATACCTAGATTTGAACAGCTGCTCTTTCAGCTTCCACAAATATCAAGCAGGGTCTACTCCTTCCTCCAACATACAGTTTTGTTACCACACTCAGTGATTTTATTTGGCAGGTTCAATGTAAATGTTGCAAAAAATTGACCCCACCCCCCCAAAAAGGCAGGCAAGCATTTCCATTCCTTATTTTCCTTTTATATCTCAAAAGCCTGCACATACAATTAGCTGGGCGTGGTGGCACCTGTAGCCTCAGCTACCAAGAGGCTGAGACAGGAAGATCACTTGAGCCTAAGAAGTCTAGGCTTCAGTGAGCCAGAATAGCACCACTGTACTCCAGCCTGGGTTCCAAGGGAAAAGTTTCACAGCCTCTACCTTGAAGAAAGCAATAGATTCAGGCAGTAGTCTTCAAAGAAGCCCCCTTTTGCAGAGAGTTTCAAAGGAGTCTGGTGAGGGCTGGAACCCAGATTTCATTTTTTATGCTTCTCAAAGAAATAACAGGATTCTTTCAAGGTTTGGGCAATAAGAGGGATTAGGCTAGATTCTGACTCAGGTAGACTTTTCCATTATGCTTGAAAATTCAGGAACTGTGAATAAGAATATGAAAAAGAAATCAGTAATATTTACATTTTCAATTTTGTAGGCTAAAAGGGTTCCTGTAATGTGTCTTTTAAATTAAATTAATGATTTTGGGTGGTCTGTGTCTTTCTCCTCAGGAGTGAGTCTGTGCTGCTGGACATGCCCCAGCCTGTGAACCCAGAGCTCAGTGCAGGATCCATCACTGGACTGATGGACAGGCTCAGCTGCTTCCAAGGTAAGTGTCAGCTGTTGGAAGGATTCCCACACTCCATTATGTGTTGTTAGGATCACGTGGAAAAGACTTCATCTTTCATTAGATGTTTTCCATCTTTCATCAGACATTTTTAAAGTGAATCATATGACTATGCAAACCTTTTATATCTGTTTCTGATTTATAGTCAGATTTATAACATTAAGAGTGAAAGATAGTGAAGGCCCAGCACGGTGGCTCATGTCTATAATCCCCGCACTTTGGAAGGCTGAGCCGAGATGACTGCCTGAGGGCACAGATTGATACTAGCCTGGGCAACTTGAAAATACTTCTATCTCTACAATAAATCAAAAAATTAGAAAAAAAAAAAAGAGTGAAAGATAGTGAAAAACTTTAGTATGATCAAGGCTCCTAATTACTAAGTTATATGTTGGGTAAAAGAAATGACATAGCAAATAAAAAATTGAGAACAATGTTCATATTTAAGCTTAGTTATCTAATGTTTCATGTGAAATTGTACATTTATTTAGTATATTTCATTTTAATTATAAGGAGCACTTGTATGGGGAATAGTTTACTAGACTTTGATGGGTTTCATGTGTATTTTTTACAGTGAACATATAATATTCATTTATGTAAAATTTAAATTAATACGTAAAAGCTAAAAGAAGAAATATTTTTTATAAATAGGAAGTTTAAGTAAAAACAAAATCAATTTTAGTTTACTTACAATAAGAAGAGCTACATGTTAAATCTTAAAATTCTCCTTCAACCCAGAGCCAGCATAAAAGACTGGAGGAACTGATAAAAGATTTCACAAATCCGATTTAAATTGCCATTGTAATGTAGACATAAGGATTTTTATCCATTATGTACAGTGGTGCCTCAGGAAATTTTCACATTTCTTCCAGAATGATAGCAATAGCATTTAGAAAGTAAAAAATATATATTTTACTATATAATAATATATATTAGTCTCAATAACTGAAGAGCATTTAGGGCACAATATGTTTCAATTTTGCTTTGACAATTTGATTGAAAGAGATTTGACTCTTGATATTTGAATTTTTTTAAAATGTGCAATATGTGTGGCTAGGGATTTGTTTGTCCTGTAGATGCATTAGCTGTCCCTATACTTTACTAGATGTTACAACTACAATTGTCCTTGTTGCTGTGACCTTATATTTCCTGGTAAAGTAAGTTTTGATAGAACAACTTTTCTCTCATAAATTCTAATTCCTGTTATTTACATATGCGTCGGCACATTTTTCTTTCTTTCTGCAGTGAATATCACTCTGGACCGTGAAGGAGCCAACAGTCACATCGTCCTGCATGGAGAGTTGAGAAACATGAGTGTTGGATGTAATCCTGAGGATGCGGCCTGTGTCACTCCCAGATCTGGATGTTTTCTTGCATGGGGTGCTCAGACTTTTACCTCTGGCAAATTCTACTGGGAGGTGGATGTAGGGAACTTTTGGAATTGGGCTTTTGGAGTCTGCAATGATTACTGGATGAAGGACCGTCGGAATGACAACATAGATGAGAAGGAAGGGCTATTTCTTCTTGGATGTGTAAAGGAGGATGGTCACTGCCTTCTCTTTACCACCTCCCCACTGATCTTTCAATATGTGCCAAGGCCTACTGGCCGAATCGGAGTGTTCCTGGATTATGAAGGTAGAACTGTGAGCTTTGTTGATGTTGCTCAAAGTTCCCTCATATACAGCATCCCTTCTTGCACCTTCTCTCCCCAGCTCAGGCCTATCTTTTGCTGTAGTCACTTCTGACCAGAGACAAATCAGGAATCTGTCATATGCTATGGGAACCCCTTTGTCACAGGGAGCCTTTTTCCCTGTGTGTGTATTGCTAATCACAGTTTTTATGGGGGCTAATAACAGTAATGTTTTTCACTCAGGCTGGAGTGGCATGCTCACAGCTTACCACAGCCTCAACCTTCTGGGCTCAAGTGGTCCTCCCACCTCAGTCTTCCAAATATAGCAGGGATTACAGGCATGAACCACCACACCTGGCTAATTTTTAAAATATTTTTTGAAGAGACAGGGTCTCTCTATTTCGCCCAGCCTGGACTCAAGCAATCCTGCCTTGGTATTTCAAAGTGCTAGAATTACAAGTCTTTATTTTTTTTTAACAAAATAAAAACTTTCATATTCTTCAGTTATGGAAGTTTAAAAGTGTTTTAAAAGCATGCTTTTAAAAATAGAATAAGAACACCTGCCCAGGTTTATCAGTCAATACGCATAGCACTAATTGTTAAGCACTAATTCATATTAAGATGAAAAATATTGCCAGGTACAATGGCTCATACCTGTAATCCCAACACTTTGGGAGGTCAAGGCGGGAGGACTGCTTGTACCCACAATTTCAAGATCCAGTCTAGGGAATATAGTAAGGCATTGTCTCTACAAAAAGTTAAAAAATAAGCAGGGCATGGTGGCACATGCCTGTAGTCCCAGCTACTCGGGAGTCTGAGGTGGGAAGGATTGCCTGAGCTCAGGAGGTGAAGACTATGGTGAGCGGTCAGTTGCTACTGTGCTCCGACCTGGGCAACAAGAGTGAGACCTTGACTCAAAAAAAAGATGCAAAATAATTCAAGCAACTAAAATGATCATACAAGACTATTCATCATAAAGACCTGCTATTAAGTCAAATTCTTGTATTCTATACATTAAAGTGAGTTCAGAAACGCACATTTTATCGTTGAACTGGCAAAAGCATAGCTTTAATTTCAAGGATGCCATGTATACATACCGCCACCTTGTGGATATTCTTTTATTACAGGCTATTATAAAAAGTGATGAGGATGTGTGATTCTAAGAGGAACCATTTTCTGCTTTCCCAGCTTCCTAAACATGACACAATTTTAGAGGAGTCTTTTTCCTTTCATAAAACCAGTTGCAGATATTGTCCTTAAGAAACTGGTTTTGGGGAATATATTTTAATAGATGGTCTAATTTTTTAATAATTTGTCTCTGACAATAATGATTAAAATTAAAACTACAAACCAAGCAGAGCTTTTGTGTTTTTTTACGTGTGAAAAATGAATGTTGATTCCAGCATTTATGTAAAAGTTTAAAATGTTAAAAAATATTTGAATTGGAAGTCCTAGGTAGAGCAATTAATCAAAGGGAAGAAATAAGGTGTGTTCAAATCAGAAGGGAGGAAGTAAAATTATTCCTGTCTGTAGATTACACTATATGAAAAAATCTGAAGAATCCACCAGAAAACTTTAGTAACTGATAATCAAATCAGTAGATTTGCAAGATGCAAAATTAATATACAAAAAACCATAGTGTTTCTTCATGTGAATAATGAACTAGCTAAAAGAGAAAAAAAGAAGGCAATCCTAAATAGCTAAAAAATTAAAAAATCTAGAATTAAACTTAAAGTGATGAAAGACCTCTACAAGGAAAACTACAAAATACTATTAAAGAAATTGAAGATAATACAAGCAAATGGAAGGGTATCCATGATCAAGGATTAGAAAAATTAATATTGCTAAAGTGACAATACTATCCAAAACAATCTACAGATTCAATGCAATTTATCATAATAGCAATGACATTCTTCATGAAGATAGAAAAATATTCTAAAATTTGTATGAAATCTCAAAAGATTTTGAATAACTAAAGCAATCCTAAGCAAAAAGAAAAGACCTGTGGGTGTTACACTATCAGACCTCAAAATATATTACAAAGCTGTAGTAGCCAATACAGCATGGTGCTGACATAAAAAAAGACACATAGTCCTATGGAATAGAATAAAGAACCCAGAAACTAATTCACATATCTACAGCCAACTGATTTTTGACAAAGATGCCAACAAAATGTACTGAGGAAAAAATAGTTTCAATAAATGGTGCTAAAAAAACCCTGGAAATTCATATGCAGAATAAAGCTAGACACCTACCTGTAACCGTATATAAAAATCAACTTAAATGAATCAAAGACCTAAATGTTAGACCTGAAACCATAAACCTAGTATAAAAAAATACAGGTGAAATGCTTTAAGACATAGGTCTTGAAAAATATTTTATAAATGAAATATGAAAAGCACAGGCAGCAAAAGCAAAAATAAACAGTATTACATCAAACTACAAAAGTTCCGCACAGAAAGTAAACAACAGACTGCAAAGACAAGCTACAGAGGAAATATTTGCTAACTACTCATTCAACAGAAGATTAGTATCCAGAATATACAAGAAACTGAAGCATCTCAACAGCAACATAAATTAGATTAAAAATACACAAATGATCTGAATAAACACTTCTCAAAAGAAGATACAAAACTGGTAAACAAATACACTAAAAAATGCTCAACATCACTATCAAGGAAATGCAAATCAAAACACAACGAGCTCTATTGTCTTATCCTAGTTAGGAAGACTATTATCAAAAAGATTTTTTAAAATTCTGGGAAGGATATAGAAAAAAGGAAAATTATGTACACTGTTGGTGGGAATGCAAACTAGCACAGACACTATAAAGAACAGTAATAAACCTTCCTCAAAAAACTACACACAGAACTACCACATGATCCAGCAATCCTTCTACTGAGAATTTATCCATAGGAAAGGAAACCATTATATTAATGAGTTATCTGCGCTCCCTTATTTATTGCAGTGCTGTTCACAATAGCCAAGATAGCCTAAGTGTTCAATAACAGATGAATGGAGGAAAAAAATGTGATATGTGTAAGAGGGAAGACCCCAAAAAACCGGAAATTATCTTTTGCAGGGTGGGCCCCTTGTGGAACAGGCTTCCCCTACTGGGTAACTGTTCTAGGAACCCATGGGTCAGTGTAACAGCTAGCATTGTGAGAGGCTGTGTTCGCTTCAGTGAATTTTTTCGGAAATTCTTTCAACATTTTTCCCCTTTTCATGATTGGTGATTGGCGAGCACACTTGCCCACACGGCGCTGGGTTCAGTTGTTTTTGACAAAAAATGGCATGACCCTTCCCTATTCACCCGATCTTGCCCTCAGCAGCCTTTTTTTGTTTCCCCAGATTAAAAAAAAAAAAAAAAAAGTTCCCAAAAGGAAATATTTTGCTAATGTAGAAGAGATGAAACAAAAAAATAGCAGAAGCTCTAAAAGATATCAAAATTGACAAGTTCAAAAACTGTTTTGAGCAGTGGAAAAAGCATCTCGATAGGAGTATTGTATCAAACAGAAAGTACTTTGAAGGTGACTAAAGTTTAAACATGAAAGAATAAATGGACAATTTTTTATAAGTAAATTCCAGGGTTTTGGGGGCCCATATATAAAAAGACAAAACAAAGGGAGGCTGAATATATTCACCAGCCTCCTTTTGTTTTGTCTTTTGGTCATGTCAGCAAACCTTACTCCATTTTCTGGAAATGAATCATTTATTGTCCTCCACAATCCTGTCATTCACAGCAACCTAGAATCCTAGAATCCTGTCATTCACAGCAAACTAGAGAATGTTATGCGAAATGAAATAAGTCAGAAACAGAACATTAAAAATTCATATTCTGACTCATGTGGAAGCTTAAAAAAAGTTCTCATAGAAGTAAAAAAGAGAACAGAGGATGCTGGAAGCTAGGAAGAGTAGAGGAGGGAAGGGATTGGAAGAGACTACAGTTAACAAAATATATAGCTTCAAAAAGAAATAGCAGGAAGGAGGCTATTGAATGTTCCCAACAACAGCAACAACAAAAAAAAGTGTTTGAGATGATAGATATGCTAATTACCCTGATCTGGTCAGTATGCATTATATGTACCAAATCATCACTATGTACTTTGTGAGTAGGTTCCATTTTTATTTGTCGATTAAAAACCAAAAAAAATCCAAATTAATTTTTTAGAATTTATTTATTTTAGAGTTATGGGGTACAAATGAGGATGTACTACATAAGTAGGTTGCATGCAGGTGAAGTTTGGGTTTCTAGGTGGCCTTCACTCAAATTAATATAGAAGAATAAATATGAAAAACTTGTACTCAAGAAATTAGCTTCTTGAGTCCCTTTGGGTCCTATATGGTTTCTAGACCAGTGCTTCTTCAAATTAGAGCATATTTAGGTCACCAGGGTGTCTTGTCAAAATGCAGATTCTTTGAAAATGTAAAAGATTTAGATTCAGATTTAGAGTAAATCTAAAGGAGCCTGAGGCTACTCCCAGGTGATACTGATAACGCTAATCTTTGACCAAATTTTGAGTAACAAGCTTAGAAATTAATGGTTTGAAGCCCTAATGCATAATCATCTGGGAAACTCAATACCCAGGGACAGAGCAATTAAATCAAAATCTCTGGGATCAGTCTTCAACCATTGGCATTTTAAAAACTTCCAGGTGTTTCTAATGTGAGGTGATTACTGACATCTGTAAATTAAAAATTAAAAGAAAGCCTGTCTCGGCGGCTCAGCCTGTAATCCCGCGCCTTTGGGAGGCTGAGGTGAGTGGATTGCCTGAACCTGCGGGTTCGAGACCCACCTGGGCAGCGAGACCTCATCTCTACAATAAATCAAAAAATCAGCCGGGCGTGGTAGCACATGCCTGTAATTCCGGCTACTTGGAAGGCTGAGGCGGAAGGATCGCCGGAGCCCAGCAGGTCGAGGCTGCGGTGGCCGGGGGCGGCCACTGCACTCCAGTCTGGGCGACCGAGTGAGACTCCAACTTAAAAAATAAATTAATTAATTAAAAAAAAAAAATTAAAAGAACTAGCATTTTTTATCTCCCTGTTGGAAACCACAAATAAATGTCATAGTTGAAACAGAGGAAGAAACTGTAGAAAATAAATGTGAGAAATACC